TGTAACTATAATGTTGGCTGTAGATATTTAAATTCTATAAATATTTTGCTGAGTTTTTATTGCCGTCAGATATTAAAATTAATAAATATTTTTCAAGCATCTCTCATGATAACTATAAGTTTTTTCTTCGTGTTAGGTCAATTGCCTTTAGAAGATTAAACTACCTTCTTTTACTAGAATAAGTCCCTAGTTATATTTACAAATATTTTCTCTAGAAATTTGGCTTCTCTGGCATAAGATATACTAGCCTGTAATTATTTCTCCTTGTAATATTCTTGTTAGGTTTTGATATCAGTGTTTTAATGGTCCCATAAAATTAGGTGTTATTCTTCTTCTTTCTTTTTTTACTGTCTTAAAGATTCTTAGAATGTTATTTCTTATTGCCTATATATCAGGAATACATCACCAGAGATACATCTGAACCTGAAGGTTTCTTTCAGGGTATGTTTTATCATTATAAATTTAATCTCTTAAACATATTTAGAATTATTTAAATGTTCTAATTGTACCTATTTTGGTAAGTCTTGTTTTTCAAGTAATTTTTCATGTCATCCGAGATCTTATCTATGACCTTTTTAATACTTATAGGATCTATAATGATATTTTCCTTTTCATTCATGGTATTAGTAATTTGGGTTTACCCTCATTTTTCCTGATCAATTTCTTTACAGTTTCATTTCTCTTCTTTTTTTTAAGGTAACATTGGTCTATAACATTATATAAATTTCAGGTCTTCGTCATTACATTTTGACTTCTGTATTGACTGCATCGTGTTCACCACCAAAAGACCTTCACCCCTTCCACCCTCCCTCTTCCCCTCCCCTCCAGTAATCGCTAACTGTATCTATGTGTCTTGTTGTTAATCTTCCACATGTGAGTGAAATCATACAGTGTTTATCTTTCTCCATCTGACTTATTTTGCTTGGCATAATACTCTCAAGTTACATCCATGTTGTGGCAAATGGCAAGATTTCATCTATTGTTTTTTGGCTGAGTAGTATTCCATTGTGTGTATATACTGGATTTGTTGATTTTATCTCTTTGTGTAATTTCTATTTCATTTTTTATGTTCTATTCTTGTTCATTTTTTTCTTCTAATTATTTATTCCAATTTGATTTATTTCAAAAATATTTTAAACGTTACATTTTGATTTTCTAAAACATAGATAATTTATGGGTATATTGATTCATTTCCAAACATGTAAAGATTTATTAGTTGGATTTTCATCATCCATATAACGTTAAATTCCAATGTGATCAGAGAATAAACTCTATAAGATGGCAGTTATTGAAACTCATTTTATGATGTAACATATAATCAGTTTTTAGATGTTCCTTGTGTATTTTAGAGAATGAGTATTCTGTAGTTGCATAGTTTTCTATGCATTTCTGTCAGGTCAATTAGATTAATCATGTTGTGATTTTATTTTTATTGACTTGTTTTATAAATTACTCAGAGAGCTATTTTAAAACCTCCAGCTATATTTATGGATTTTATTATTTCTCTTCCATGAGCTTTCCTATAAGTATTTTGAAGCTATTCTATTAGGTAGATAGAAATTTAGGATTATTTTTCCTTCTCATCAAAGTTTTTATTTTACCATTAAGAAACATACCTTTTTATGAACAATAGTACTTTTTCCCTTAATGTTTGACCTTTCTGATATTAATACAGTGACAGCAGCTTCATTTAAGTATGTGTTTACATGGTGAAACTTTTGCATCTTTTTACTTTCAATCTGTCTGTGCCTTTGTATCTCTTGTAAACAGCATATATTTGGTTCTTGTTTTTGTTGTTTGTTTTCTTAATCTACACCAGTAGCTCCTAACCTAGGCAATTGTGACCCCCAGGGGACATTTGACACTGTCTAGAGATATTTTTGTTGTCCTAACTTGGAAACAGGTATATTAGTGGCAAATAGTGTTAACCCACAATGAACAGGAGAACCTCTATAAGAAAAAATCATCCAGCCCCAAATGGCACTAATGCTGAGGTTGATAGACTCTGATTTAGTTTGTCAGTCTCTGCTATTGTATGCAATAATTTTCATAGCTGATTCTACAGGGAGCATCTCACCATTAGATTATATTTTCTCTCTGAACTTTATTTCTTCCTTGGGTACTATTAAATTAATCAACATTTCATTATAAAAATTTCCTCATTTATTAGTCTTTTATCTACATATTTTAATTCTT